CGGCCCCCAGAAGCCTAGCACTTGTTTACACTCTAGCCCTTCCTACTCTCTGCTGGGAGGAGGGGGTATTTGTGTCACTTCCGGAATACAGCGGAAGTGGTGCATTTCCTCACTCTCCACTGAATATGTAAATATAAAACTTGAAGAGTCACGCAAGCTTCTGACATCCGGGTTCTCAGAGCCATTGTTTTTTAAAATCCTCTCTTTTCTTGGTAGAATTCAAAGATATAGCCGTGTTAGTCTGTTGAATCAGTATGCAGAGAGATCTTGCAGCACCTTTAAGGGCCTATACAGACTACCAGAAATAATCCAGCTTGAGTCCTGGCTCAGTGCTAGGGAATCATGGGAATTGTATTTTTTCTGAGGCATTGAGCCTTCTCTGTCAGAGAGCTCTGGTGCCACAATAAACTACAGTTCCCATGATTCCCTAGCATTTAGCCAGGGCAGTTAAAGTGGTCTCAATTTGCACTATTTCTGGCAGTCTGTACAGGCCCTAACTGAAAGAAAGAAGTTGGCAGCATGAGCTTTCATAGACTTAAGTCTACTTGCTCAGATGCATTTGGTGGAGTGGAAAGCCAGGGACAGAGCTATATATGTCCTTGATGTATGAGAATGTTCACAAACGACCATCGTTAAAACTGGGCTTACCCCTTCATTTCCATACACAAAGGATTTTGAATTTGAATCGATATTCACACACACTATAAGAGCGTAGTAGTAGATTGCGTTTCATATTTGCCTCCTGCTGTATTCTGGGATTTGAAGTTTAGGGAGAGGCATTTAGAATTCTCAGCCAGAGAGCTCTTAGGCTTCACTGAACTACAAATCCCAGAATGCAACAGGAGGCAGACACAGCAGTAAAAGTGGAACAGCAGCACTTTAAGACTGTAGTGTGGTATTCTGCTGTATTTATCTCCTAATGCAGTTTGACACTGCTTTAACTGCTGTGGCTGGATGCCAATGAAGTCTGGGAGCTGTATTTCTGTAAGGTACAAAACACATTGCACAAATAATCCAATTTGACACCGTTTAACTCCCCTGGCTCGGTGCTAGGGAACCCTGGAAATTGTACTTTGTCGTGGCACCAGAGCTCTCTGACAGAGAAGGATACATGCCTCCCAAAACTACAGTTCCCAGGATTCCCTAGCATTGAGCCAGGGGAGGTAAAGCGGTCTCAAACCGGATTATTTCTGCAGTGTGTTTTGGACCCCAAGACATTGAACCTTCTCTGTTAGAGAGCTCTAGTGGCACAACCAACAGTTCTCTCAGCCCCCTCAGCAAGGAGGACAGATATAACGGAATATTAACAGCAAAACTGTCGTAAAACTGAGAAGGGCGGCTTCTTTTTTAAAAAGGCTCAGTCAGAAAGACTGTCATTTTCTCTTTGCTTCTACCTGTCCAGCCACGGGAAGGAAGGGGGGGAATGGCGCCTAAAGGAACCCGGAAGTCTCACCTTTGAACAAGGTGTTGTTCTTTTATTTCGTATCTCTATGGCTTGGCAACCGTGGAGGGCGAGGCCGGCCCTCTTGCGGGGGGGG